AAGTTGTTTGATTTTCTAAATTTATACAATATTTCAACCATTAACTTATTAGCAGTTTTCAAATATACACTTTTTCTACATTGGTGGTTAAAAAAAATGTTTGCAGCTTGTGGTATTTTCATTTTAGTTTTAAAGTCTACTTTTTTCCCTCACAATCTCTTTGTATAGAGGATATTTAAACATCTTCCCATATTTAAGAATGCAGTGAACCCTAAATTGCTTTTATTGCTTTTAAAGCATCGTGGGATTTTAAAAGGATGCTTTGTTCTGCTTCCATGGTTTCAGTTACGATTGCACTCGCTCATTTTTCAGATGACCTGTTGACCAAAAAAGCGATCCCTCCGTCAGAACAGGAATTTGTGGACATCTTTCAAAAAATGAAGTATTCCTTCTGTTTACTGGTAATATAAATGCATCCACAAAACAGTTTCTGGGAAGTTCGATAAAATAGCTGTTTAGTGTATAAATAGTTTCCTGTTTGATTTAGGATCGCCTGAAGTCATCTATCTCACAGCCAGATGCACCAGATCTGCTTCACCACATCTTTGTTCCTCTCAGACTGGTAGGGTTTACTGTGTGTGAGTGTTTCCCCCTCTAGTTTCTCTTTTCTGTAACTAAAGTCGTATCAATCTTCTGTTTGATAGATGGTGAACACCACTGGAGGGCCAACATTAGCTGCAACTGTGGAGAGTCCAGCTATGACTAGAGGTGCTGTTTCTCTACTCCAAGAGCACCTAAGCGACGATGAAAAAGAGCTGTGGACATCACTGGGCCCCAACTGGACCTCACATAGGTCTGAGCGTTTCTCTGTTTACCAATCTCTGCAGCATCACCGTCCTAACAACCAGCTTCTCTCATCCTCAGTTCACAGCTGAGTATTTCTGCTCCTCCATATGTTCCTGTGTTCCTGGATGGGTGGCAGCCTCAGGCTTCAGATCCAGCCCAAAATCTGATAGAAGATCCTGTCCAGTTACAGCACAAAGAGGATGCTCTCAATGAAAGCAGGCAGAGGCAGAGGCAGCAAGCATATGTCCAACCTTCAGTCAAGAACCATGGAGAAGAGACAGAGAACGTGTATGTATTTAGTCACTGGGAAAAATGTTGTATTAAAACACATGAGGTGATGACAATTATGTCTAGCCATTCCATGGATCCACTGAATAATTAGAATATAACAAAAAAAAAGTCCTTGATGAGATGAAATAGAGACAGATGTTTAATTATTAATGATTAATAATTTATCTTTGTTGATCTCACATTGGAGAAATTTACCTCTGCATTTCCCTACGGGAACAGTGGGCTGCCATTGTTTGCCGCCCAGCGAGCAATCGGGGGTTAAGGGTCTTGCTCAGGCAGTGGGGATCAAACTGGGTACTCTCAACCTTCTCAGAGCATAAGCACAGTGCTCTAACCACTAGGCCAACAATAGAGCCTTTATTTCTGTTAGTTATGCTCAAAACTAATGAAAGCATGATATTTAATTTCTCTAATATTATATTAGACCATTTTAAATGCAGAAAGGTGAGCTTAATGAAAAAGTATGCTTACTTTTATTTATTTTAGATAACTTTTATTTTACCAGGAAAGAAATACATTGAGGTTTGGAATCTCTTTTACAAGGATGTCCCTAGGGGTTGTTATTTTCAAAACATACTTTTGAATTAAGAATAAGAACCGTCAGGATCTCCTGGACTTCCTAATTTTTCAGATGTGACTGAATAGGAACTAACTCAAAAACCTCCCTTTATTTAAATATTTTCTTGGCATTCTTACAAAGTGTTACAGTCTTAAGCCTCTAAATTGCCTTGGGATGCATTTTAACAATGCATCTTTTTTTCCTTTGTAGATATGGAAGATTTCTGCCCCATCACTCTCAGTTCCAGCCTTCTTAAGCCGGGCATACACTGTGCAATTTTTTCAATCGTTGCACGCACAAGCTGGCTGAAAGTCGGGCCGATTGGAAAATTCTTGCACGACTGGAAAGTCGGCCCAAAAAGGGCAAAAAAAAATCGGACAGTGTATGCCCGGCTTTATGCTGCATACTTATTTGGATACCAAACAACATTCAAAGATAGCTGAAAGCTGTAAAGAGAGCTACTATTCGGAACATTTCAATTGCTGGAAAGTTTATGATTGAAGCGATGTACATAAAAACAGTTTCAAACCCTTGTGATTTAATGTGGAAATTAATGTCATGAAGAGAGCTGAGCATTGCTCAATCTCTAGCCCTTCTTCAAGAGCTTCTCACAAGCTGAGTTTTGACAATCATCACAGACGATAAGGCAGTCATATACAGTTGTGTTTGAAAGTTCATGTACCCTTCCATTAAAGAAAGACAAATATCAGTAAAATAAATTTAACTTGACAAAAATAATAAATATAAATGATAAAAATGGGAGTTTTTTTTTAAAACTCCCTGCATAATTATAATAAAGCAATTTCTATGCATGAAACAAGTGGAGCAATATGGCCATACTGCTACACTTGTGAAAGTAAAATCTGTTGGGCTCTTTTTGGCATCAATTATTATTGACAATTATTCTTATTGCCAGACAGAACAATGTTTAAAAAAAAAAAAAATGGAAATTGTGACGTTGATTCTATATATATATGTATATATATCAAAAAATTTACTAAATTAGCATTTAGTAAATTTGTATTTATTCTAACCTTTATCATTTTTTGTTATTTAAATTAATAGTGTAAATGTTTAATTTTCTTTAATAGGTGAGTTTCATGATGGTTTATTTGGGATAGTTTATTGAATATAAAAGATAAATAAGTGCAAGAAAGTCCATCTTCTATGTCCATATGGATCTTTCTTTTCTGTGGGGAAATTGTTTAAACTTAATGGTAGTTTAAAAACACATTTCTTTTCTCGTCTTCAGTTAGACTCGGTGAAGCCTTTCAATGGTGTGTTTTTCGCCACCTTTCAAGCCAATGAATACCATCAGAGTAATTAAACACAGAATAAAGCACACCTGTCATTCTTGGGTACCTCGCTTAATTCTTAAAGGCTTTAAATCATTGGCCGTAATCCTAAGCAAACAAATTCCAATTGCAGTTGTTTTGCTTGATTGCCAAACATATTTTTATCATTTCTTATGCAGAAACTTTGTGCAATTTGCTTATAGTGGAAGGGGGTACACCACTAAGGCTTTTGTCAGAATTATAGCAGCACAGGGGGCTGCTCATGTGAGACTTTTCTGTAAATAATGCTCAGCATCAGAGATCTTGATTTTTATGAGTTATACATTTTTACTAGATCTTCCACTTTCTTTTACTCTTTGTCATCTGCTTGCGTAAATATTTGGCCATTTATCGAAAAATGAAGTAAATACTCTGTGCAGACCTAAGAGCATACAATTTTCTCATGTCTCAAAGTAAACAGTGTATGCGCAATTTGGAAGTGTGTGTGCTTATCTGAAACAGTAGCACTGTTCCACAAGAAACTCAATCTGATCTCTGTTAGCCAGGAACCTGATCATCATTCAGTTTTTATTGATGTGGATAATATTTCTATGTAAGCTGCTTGATGGGATCCACCTTATGGCTAAGGCTGAATGGCCATTGAATTAGCCCGGCTAACCACATATAAATGTTAATAGGTAGGCAGTATTTCCTCTTTGCTAGTCTTTCCTTAATTCCTTGATGACTAAGCCTTTCAGGTGTTTGCGGTTCATATTGCACTGTAGGAAATGCATTCTCTATGGTCCCTTTAGGGGAATATCGTGCATAGAATGCTATTACTCAGCTTTCTTTGAGTGTGGCAGGTATGCTGTGGGCAGAGATGGATAATCCAGGTCCAGAAAGTAAAAAGCCTGAATTCAGATTAGTTCCAACTAAGATTATTGCATTTCCATCTTCACAGCACAGACTGGGGGCTAATCACTTGGTACAGTGAGCAGGATGACAGAAAACTAGGCAGGGTTTTTACTCTTTGACCTGGATTATTCTTCTCTTGAGTTTAACAGTGGGAAGACACAAAATTTAAACTTTACCAGTCTTAATGAATATTTTCATTTTAGTTGTTTCATACCTTCTGAATGTCATTTCAGAAATGAAAACGGTCTTCCACCAAATGAGGAAAGGATGTATTTCTGCAGTTATGACTTCGTGGCTAGAAACAGCAATGAACTCTCAGTGCTGCATGGAGAAACACTAGAGGTACTGTGCAAACCAAAAACTGGTCTCAAAGACAATTTGCCAACATGTCAAAGCAGAATTTCACTAATTAAACTTAACTTTCTTTAGGTTCTTGATTCATCAAATCGTTGGTGGAAGTGTCGGAATACATACGACGAGATAGGATTTGTTCCATCTAATATTCTTGAGCCTTTGTCTGCAGTAAGTAACAAAGAAAGACAGCATCCGGTGCTTCGAACAGAGTCAAAGGTATGGACACTGCTTTGTTTTTAAAATAATATACATCCTCAGTTTTTAATAACTGCTTTGTTCCCATCAGAAAGTGCCTCTCACCCCTCGGACCAAGTGTTTCTCGTATGCCCCATCGAGCACAGAGGGGTTAAGCCCGACCAGCCCAACAGAGCGTTCTCAGAGCGTCTTCCTCGCATCTAGCAGGATGTCAAGGGAAGATGGTGAACGAGGTAACACACCAGTCCATGCAGTGCAGTATATTTAAAGCACTGACAAACAAATAAACATCTGCTTATTCATTTCTCTTCTGTTTGTTGAAGCTAAACATTGATGTGAATGTATATAATTAGCAGGAGCTTATCAAGCAGTTGCAAAATCCTTATTTACCACGTTGAACGGCTGTTTTTACTACATTTGTTGGATTTAGAAAAATAAGTAAGACTAAATTATTTATTGTAATCCAATCTAAAGTTGGTTTGTTTCTTCACTTGCTTTGTGTTTAGTGAGGTTATATGTGTTTAGAACTTTTCATTGTAGGGTAGTTTTATTTGCTTGTAAAAACATTTATTTTCTAATTCAGTTAGTTTCAATACATTTTTAGAATGATTTTTATAAGTGTGTATTAGTTACTATTACTATTATTTTAATAATACTTATTTTTAGTTTACTTTTCATTAGTTCTAGAACTAGTTTCTAGAACAGCTTTTTTCAGCTTTTTTTCATACTTCGGTTAATTTTTAGGCAAAAGGTTATAAAAAAATAAGAGAATTTTTTATATTGTGTATATAAGTAATTTAAAAACTGAAAAACATATAATTTCACCTTACTTTAAATAAATCTTGTGGAAAAACACAATTTTACATCAATTTGAAAGGCTTACAAAACGATAAACATGAAACATTTTAGTATATTTTAGTAGGTTTTGATAAACAAAAAATACAATTTCAATCCTTTACAGTTTAAACCCAGTTTATAAGACTTTTTCCGTTGACTAAAATGTTTTTTTTTTCCATTAGTTAGTTTTCGTTAAGATGACCCTGGTGATTAAGGTTTCTTTCTGCCTAAATCAAACTGAATGGTTTTGCTTTCCATTTAATCTAGTTCCTTTCCAAATCTGTACCGTTTGATGTTTTTGTGCTCTATTACAGTCATGTTCATGAACGATGAGCTTCTGCAGCGGCTGGCGAAGAAAAGGAACTCAATTGAACAGACGGAGGTTCCCTCTGCAGCTCCCACCTCTGTCCCTCTGAACTACAAATCCCCAAGTGCTGAGGTGAAGGCCTGGCTCACAGCGAAGGGCTTCAGTCAGGAGTGAGTGTTTAAGAAAATCCACAAAAATATATAGACGATACAGACTGTAGCTCTGCTTTTATCATCCATAAAAACACAAATGTAGAGTGTGAACTGGTTTGAAGAAATATAATGTTCAAGAAAGGTTGTTTGTAAGAAGCGATTTTGCAACTATAACCAAAAATATATATATTATTTACAATTTCAAACCTGCTACTATAATGAAGAGAGGAAGTTTTTACCAGAAACCTCCGCATGGACGTAGGGGTTGAAATGATTAATTGGCCTGTCTGCAGTCATGACCTTAGCCCCATTGGGCGCTTTAAGGATCAGTTTGGGCAAAAACAAACAAATTGGCTGATTGGTACGAAAGCTGACTGAAATATGGGATACAATCCCATCATGAGGAAGAGGTGCTGTGGTTCTGCACAGTTCTCTTGTGTATTACACAGAGCATTGTTTGATTAGGGGATTAAATATATTTGATTTCAAATATGTATTGATTACTAAATTATATCATGCAATTAATAATGATTCCAAACAAATATCAAAAGCACTTTAACAGAGATGGTAAACTCTAAAAACATACTTAACTATTCCCCTCACTGCTCCAAAAATACAGTTTCTTTACAAATGTGGCACTATTTAAATGTTTTTCCAACAGTAAAAAAAAAATACTTTTTAAAGTACTGTGTAAACAAAGAAATAATCAATTTGCTTGTTTTTTGTTTGTTTTTTCTTCTGCTAAATGTATACAGAGGTCTCTGGAAAGGTGGATCCTAAAAATAATCACTTTTGAATGAGCTTTAGATCCTCCACTGACTGCTTTCTCATTAATGTTTGTTTTTTTATTTTAATTTGTGACCAAGTTTCAAGACGCTAAACTTTCTGTTATTCTTCTATTAGGACAGTCCAGAGTCTGGGAGTTTTAAATGGAGCCCAGCTTTTCTCCTTACAAAATGAGGAGCTCTGCCAAGTGTGCCCCTCTGAAGGAGAGCATGTTTACATTCAGATACTCGGACAGAAGGCTCTTCTCGAGGTTTGTATGCTGTTCCCCTGTATTAAAGCCGGGTTAAAGTGACTGTTTGTTTGCTCGGCCTTGACTGATGAACAGACTTGCATCACTTTGCCAAAATGTTTCTAAACTGACCTACATTCGACATTAGCAGAAATCAATTCTGACTCATTTTGAGTTCTTAATATCTAATAACCTACAGTTAATACTATAATTATATTCATATTTAGAATAACATTAATACATACGTAAATCGTTCAATAAGGTCAAAAGATGGCGACAGGGAGGCTCCTTGACCTATTACCAAGTGGTAGCTGCCTAATTTGTTTAAATGAAAAAATAGTTCATAACATGCACACTTAAATGCACATCTGTAGCTTTAAAGACTCTGATTGGAACACAATTTACCAGTAGCAAAGCTAGAGAGTAACTCTTTCAGTGTTAGACCAGGCTACTGTAAAATCGGAAGTAATTAGTTCAAGTCGTTCAGAATTAGACTTGCTGGTGCGCTTTAAATCACTGCACTTCTATATATTTTTATTCCATCCATCCATTTTCTGGCATGCTTAATCCCAAGTGGGGTCGCGAGGGGTGCTGGTGCCTATCTGCAACTGTCTACGGGTGAGTGGTGGGGTACATCCTGGACAGGTCGCCAGTCCATTGCAGTGTATATTTTTTATTATTCTATATTTTTTATTATTCTATATTTCTTAAATATTGAGACAACATGTACAAGCTAAACTGTCTTTGTCCTGAGGCTGCAAAATGGTAATCAGGCTTTCTCCATTAGGATTTTCCAAGTAGCTCCAGAGCATCAAGCTGCCGTCATCATGTTTGTCAGTAAAATGTTTTAACTATTTTAACTTAGCAGATAACATAAAGAGACACATTCCTTCCAAAAGTTTAGCTTGTGAATCAAATCATATAATTTGATCCAAACTATCTTTTGGATCATCAAGATTAATTTGGCATTTTTTGTCAAGTATCAGTAGGTGAAAGGTAATTGTGTGCTTATAAGTGAGCAGTGCTTTTTCCTTGGACCTCTCCAAGGATGTATCTTCTCACTTTTTATTTTGTATTGTTCAGTCAGTGTCGCTGATCCTAAACTGAGGCTAACAGCGCTTTAAATGTTTCACTGATTTATTTTTACCTTGCTGATGGGTCGACAGCAACCTGGTCAGATTCACCAATGTTCCAGGATTTCTGCATGTTTATGGCTTGCTTGAGCCCACACGACTCAGAACATCCCATTCCGCTATCATTTATGTCAATTATGATTCTATTTTTACCTAAACATTTTTCAAATTCTTAAGCATTCTTTTTAAAATCTTTTGCCCACTTCATGGTGTCAGACAGGTCGTATGTCAGTGCTTTCTTGACTCTAGAGGTCTAGTGTTTTTTGGAACAGGGTGACAAATAAAACAGTTTTTATTAGTGTTGCGCCGATGCCATTTTTTGGCCCCGATACCTGGCTGTGCAGTATCGGCCGATACCGATACCATCTGTTTGAAATTGATGTGTGTGTGTGTGTGTATATGAAGAACTGCATACTACTTGGATGTTAAATAATTGCCATCATGGCTTTGTCAAGCTGCTGCCTACCTTTGTGAATCAGGAAAAAGACTAATACAGAGTGAATCCAGTAGAAATTTTTATTGCCTTCCTGGAATGGGTGACAATAGTTGAATAAACTTTTGGCTCTCAAAATGGTATACTGATACCACCATTTTAGTGCAATATCGGGGCCCTGCCAGATACTGGTATTGGTGCAACACTAGTTTTAATTAAAGGTCAGGTAATTTTGCATATTCTTTCTGCCTTGATAAACAAAATCCTGAATATTAAAGTTGAAGTTTACTCAGGTCATCCTTTTGAGATGTTAAAATACAGTGATCTGAAACATTTAGTAAATGACCTGCTCCTGTGTCGCACTTCCTCAAACTACAACAGTCATTCGCACACATGATGGCGGTAAGCTGGACCATCTGTGCCCACACTAATAGAAGCAAGGCTGCAGTACTTCGGTGCCACTGGTTCTGTGGTTCATTTGACCACAAACAGCAGGCAAGGCAGGAGTAGCTTCTTGCCTCAGGAAAGAGTGACTGAGCATCTATAGCTGCGACTTGAACCGGCAACCAACTCGAACCCTTACCTTCTGGGCCACTGTCACCTTAATGTGACACAAAAAGACAAGCGAACAAATAATTCCTCAAAGCACGACGGGTGGATTAAAAAAAATATAAGTATAATATAGTACATTATAATATTATGATTGCGCTACATTTAACTCCTTTATTTCCTTCTTCTTACAGGACGTGCGCAAAGTTTCTTTACTAGAGACAGTGAAGGAGAAATGAAATCCGACGACTGACCTGGATTAGTGCCCAATAAATAATGCAGGAATCAATGCTGACTTTTAAAGATATGGGGCCAAACAACTGTACATGAAGGATATATAAATATATCAGTTACTCTAAAACATGAAGGTTACATAAATGTATTAATTATAACGTGGTGTACCTGCACTGACACACAAACATTTTGCTTTACTGCTTTTCAAAACACACTGCTAACTTTGTCCCAATTGTTTTCATTTTCTTTTTCTAAATATAGCAAAAATATAAGCTTGTGTATGAAGGTAACATTGATGTAGTAAAGACACAGGATAATATTCTCAGCGACATTTTATAAAAATAAATGCTTTTATTATTTTTATTTTGTTATCGTTAAATGTCAGTTTAATTGCTATTAACCAATATGTGTACACTAACAATGCAAAAAAAAATGCAAATAAATGAGAGAAAAAATGATTAAATCTGTCTGTAAACACATTAACTGATTAATCGTCTGTGTTTGTCAAAGATCATCTCTGTTTCTCATATTTATTTCACATTAATTTTTATTAAGTCACTTTGTACAGCCACATGTTGATTTGGTCTAAATGTACAAACATATCACATTAAAAAAAACAAAACATTAGTGTTTATTTTCTATTGTATTCACGGCAGTGAAGTAATTGTGTCCTGTTGTAACTATTGTTTACAAGGCAGAAATATACATAATCAGAATACTGTCATCATTACACACCAACAGAGGCAAATAAACACATTGGTAATGTTTATTTAAGAGTGGTAAACCCTCTAACTGATCATTGATACCAAGTTCAACATGAACCTCCAAGTCATCTTAATCAGCACTGAACGGATCTTAAACGAGTCTGATTCCAAATGACAACACATGCCATCAGTTACAGCAGAAGGTAAATAAACATCATCTGAACATAATGTTGCTTCACCAGAGTTTTACAAATAACCAGAGGTCAGATTTACTTCATACGCAAGAACTGACCTTTCAGATTGCGCTGTCCCTATTTCAAAAGTTTGTCCTGGTTTGCCTTTAAAATCAGCACAGATAGAAAGATGGACCAACTGCATGCATTTAGAAATCTTTTTAGATTTTTAGATGAATCAAGTTTAATCACGCAAAAAATTAAGAGGAAATATCCAATCTTCGCCATGTAATGTTGCATTCTGCAAATGTAAAGTATTGCAGTTGTTCTATTTTGCCCTTAGTCTTAAATGTATAATTATTATTAATTTCTTATTCAGATCAGAATATGAGAAAATGTCCAGAAAACTTTTATAGGCAGCGATGGAGATGAATGAAAAGAAAAATTAAGCCCCATTAGCCTTGTTATATTTCCTCCAATGATCCATCATCCAGATGAGAAGACACACATGTCTAAAAATAAAAGCCAATGCTCAGATGCCAGTGCAACACCAGTATGATGTAGGAACTTGGACTTTCATCCTGTGCCATACTTTAATAAAAGGAAAAGATTCTGATCATTCTGGAGGTTTATTTAAACATACTGTTGGTTTATTTAATTTTTTGTTATGTTTTTCTGCTCTCTATTTAATCTTTTCAGTGCAAAATGGTTCAAAGTCTGTATTTTTTGCAATATTGGTGACCTGGTACATAAAAAAGCAGTATAGGGAATACTGGAAGAGGGATGCAGTTCCTGAAAAATGTAAAAAGTTCACTTTAAAAAGTAGTTTTTTAAAGTTTTTTTCAATCTTTTTCTCAAAATAATTAATCAACACTTTTCATAGTAAACATTTAAGTAGTTTAACCATCAGACAGAAACATGCTGATTACTGCTATTAAAATGCATCCTGAAGGCAACATCAACATATTAGAGTGCACTTCTGAGGTAAATCACTGAGATTGATCAATGAATATGGCTCATGTTTTTCAATCGCTGTTGGCCACATGGTTAGAAGTGACGGACCACTGAGCAGCTGGGAAAGAGGCAGTATATTGAACTCTCACTTCCTATTGATTGGTGCTGTCCTCACACCTCACTGGTGCTGGTTTGGTCCCAGCAGTCCCAGTCCAGAAGGTCTTTTGATTGAAACCACAGCTGGATCTCCTTCTGAGCCCCCTCCACAGAATCGCTGGCATGGATCACATTCCTTTAAATGAGCAACACTTTTGGTTACTTGATCTCCATGACACAAGTTGCCTTTTTCATATTATTGTTGTGTGATCGTGAATTGTATTACACTAATTGCAAATGTATTGATACCATTTGAACCTTTTCTAGTTTGTTCCCTTAAAATTTCTGACAGAATTATTGTGAATAATAAAGAGAGGAATGGAAACTGATATATATTTAAACCCAGAATTTACAGCTAGAAACCTACAAAGAGCAGCGTGTTATTGTCAGTACTTTCTAAAACCGCTTTCTGTCGCAATTGAAGCTTTAAGTTTTTTTCTATAAGCCTTTCACATCAGGGAGTGGAAATATTTAACATCTGTTTAAAAGTTTTACCAAAGATACTCAATTGCATTAAGGCTTGGACTCTGATTAGGCCATTATTAAACGTAAATATTCGAGCATATAGAGCATTCTACTGCAGTTCCATATGTGATGTGGGATATTTAGCGTCACTATAATAATAATAATTGAAGTTTTTTGATCTCACAGCAGTGGGCTGCCATTTTGTGTCATCCAGGGGGCAGGGTGGGGTTTAGGGTGTTGCTCAGACACCCAGAGTGACAGTCTGTGGGAGTAGGGCTCCAACTCAGAATCTCAGGATTCCAAGCTCTATGACCTAACCATTAGGCGGCCACTTCCCCAGTCTAAGATCCAACAGAATTTTCCTGCAATTAGTCCCTCTAATGTTCCTATGGGCCTCCAACCAGATTCCCTCCAGCTTCCCTGTGTGCTAAAATAACACATGTTGAGAAGCGGCGCTCTACCACCACCATGTTTCACTATGGATTCAATGTTTGTTATCATTTAAACTGGAATGTTTGGCTTTGGTTACGTCTAAACAGAACTGCATGTGAATCTTTACAGTTCCTCCAGAGTTCCTACAAGTACTTTGGCTGCTCCACTAGCAGATGTTCTTCTTGTCAAACCAGTCAGTTTAAGTCAGATGCTTCCATAGTCGGTTTTCTGAGGCTGCTGTCCTGCAGATTTCAGATGTTTCCCTGCTTTAGCACCCTTGATTCAGATAATTGCATTTTATTTAAAGCTTGTTCATCATCAGTCATCGATGAAAATCAGCTCTGCTAAAGCAGGGACCTGCAGGACAGCAGCCTGCTTCATTGGTCATGCCTGGTTTACGCAAACATCTTTCAGCTCATATTCCTATGAGGAATTGAGCAGTGCACTGTGAGAGGATCAGAACTTGGGTTGTTTTGAGTTTTAAAGCTCCATTTGTTAATTCACTTTAATGCCTTCATCAAACAGCTTCTGTTAGGAGATTAAATAATACACTTCAGCTAGATTTAATTTAGGGCAATCAGAATAAAGGGGACCATGCACACACTGCACACTTTTCAAATTCTTCTTCATAAAAATGTTCAAAGCCTTCTTAGTGTTCCTGAATCTTGCAATTTTACACAGTTAACTTCTTAAATAAATAGTCCCCAAACTTTTTTTTTTTTAATTCAAGGGGGCATGAATGATTTAGCAAAATGCCACAAAACCTGAACTAAATGATAAGACAAAAGTATACCTGCTGACATGAATGCTGAAATCTCCTCTGACGGTTCCTGCCTGCGCCTCAGCTGGATTAGTGCTTCCCACCATGGTTCGTGATGTCTGAACGACGTTGTGCCCTTCCCACACCTAAACATAGATAAAGCGCCACACATGCATTGCAGCAAACAGATAAGCAAGTGCAAGATAAAGAAAACACAATTTAAAAACTAAGAGCAGCCAAAAACCAGGCAGAGAAAGGGGGAAGCCCTCACCATCACAACTAGAGGTCCTGAGGACATGTAGCGCAGCAGACTGCTATAGAAAGGCTTGGTCCTCAGGTCACAGTAGTGCTCAGACAGGATGTCCTGTGATGCCTTCAGAGCAAATTCAGCTGCAGTTAGAACTCAAAGGAGGTTGTTTTCTTCACTCAGAGTCAAAGCAGCTCAGGTACCTGAAGCATCTTCAGCCCGACCAACTTGAACCCTCTCTGCTCGAACCGCTGGATTATCTGTCCGACGAGACGACGCTGAACTCCATCTGGCTTTATGGCAATGAGAGTCCGCTCCTTCACATCAGAGAGACCTGCAGTGACAGGAGAGAATGCAGGAGTTAATATACAGCTCAAATGCATACATGTTGGTGGAAGTAATAGTTATCCACAGGGAAGACGACTAATGATTATCTAAATTCTATGGTTCTTTTCTTTCGCCAGTGCAAAGTCAACTAAAATTCATTGCTAGGTATTTTCTAGTTCCATGTTATTGAAAGTCAAAGAGGTTCTTAATAAGTGCTTTACTGGAAAGTACAAATGCTCTACTTAACAGCGTGAAATTGCTGTTCATTTAGGTAAAATAATGAATGCTTTCCTCTGCAACACATTGACTCTGCAGCCCGTGCTGCATGAGAAGCTGTAACTTTGAAACTCACGTGCATCTTCACACTTTCTTTATGAATCTTTATTTTTTAAACTATACTGAAAACACTTAAAAGGGCCCCTCTTCAAATCCTATGTGCTAGATTTTGAACTTTATTTCGTTCTCTGAGCAAGTCCCACAATTCTTTGATTTTAATGACCAACACTCTGAGGGAGAAAATGTTAAATTGTGAATTGATTGTGATTACTTACATTTTTGGGAATTCAGTTTTACAAGCCACAGCTCAGTCAAATTAATTATTAACCAGAAGAATTAAGAAATTACTAAACTGAACCTGTCTGACAACATGAAGTAGGTTGAAAGTCCTCAAGAAGCAACAGATAAAAAACTAAGTCACAGGTAGTGTATTTGTCTAGAAAAGCTTAAATAGCCAGTTTCAAGGCTTTGGGTTTCCTTCAATTACCAGTGACTCATTATCAACACATGGAGAAAACCTGGAGCAACAATGAACCGGTCCAGAAGTGGCTGGATAATTCAACAATCTTCCCAGAGCATATTGATGGGATCCCAAAAACTAAACCATCTTAAGCACTATAAGCCTCAGTTGCCTTATTATGGAGCTCTTTAAAGTGACCTCAATGCAAAATCCAAAGGCAAAGACTAATTTTGACTAAAACCTAAAAGGCAATTTCATTTTGCCAAAAATAATCTGAATGATTCACAATATTTTTGGGGAAGAAAAAAAAAGAGCCTGAGATAAAAGTGAACTTATTTGAAGTGCATCTGATTATTTGAAACCAGGACAGCTTATCAGAGAAGTTATCTCACAAAAACAGCCAGACGTTCATGGAGGAGAATGTCCGGCCACCAGTTTGGGACCATATGCTGGAGTCCAGCAAGGTTTAGAGCAATTCAACGATGATAAGCAAGTCCACCTGATGAAATAAAGAAAACCCAAAGCTAAGGTTTTGAAGAGGCCTAATCCAAGTCTGGATTTATATCTGATTAAGATGCTGAGGTATTTTCCTTCTGCAGACAGGAGTGGGGCTTAACTCCTGCAAAGAAATGCAAAAATACTAGTCAGGCCACTTGAAAACAGAAGTTGTTGTATGTTCAGATTCACATAGGTTCATGTTAACATTATATGATCTAAAACTTTTATTTTGACAACAAAAGCCAAAGAGAGTAGATCTCTTCCAGGGTGCAAATACTTTTATTTTAATAAATACTAGTGTTTAATAAACACACCTTGTGTTTATTCTCCGTGGGTGTTCACGCATGTTGGAACATGTTTTAAACCAGTTCGGTTTTACTTCACAGACACCAGATATGGGCCACAACACCAGGAGCACATGAAGGACTGCATGCAATCCATTAAATACGCACGAGACCCGCAGCCACTGGTGGAGCCTCACGTCACACAGGACGTGAAGAATGACGTACAGTATTAGCTGACCGGTTGCAAGTTTGAATCCAGAATGGTTCGGGTCGCTGCCAGGGTCCCCCTGCATTTATCAAAAAATCGCGCATCTTTGAGCATTTTTTAAAAGCCGCGTGTCATGAGCGCGCGCCCTCGAACCGGCGCGTTTGTTGTCAAATATTGTTGTTGGGTTTGGGGGGGAAACTTTGCGCTTCGGGGTTAAAGTCTCAGACTCGATTGAACTCTGCTCAGACCTCCGCTTCTTTCATTCAAATGTAAAAAGAAAAACACATTACTGGATCATTTATGATGGAAAAAGGGGCGAAAAATTGAATTTACGGAAATGCAACCAAAACTTATCGCATCATTCAATCTTCAACTTCGTCAGAAAATGAAACTTCTTCACTTACTTGATTTGCTCCTGTGCCAGACCACCCTGTGTCCCCAGAGGAGCCCGCATTGCAGACTTTTATGGGGCTCCTGGGTCCCTGTGAAAAGGTGTTTAAGAGCTGCGTGGAAAACCCTGCGCTGCAACATGACCGTGCGCCTTTAGTCAGACTGAAGAAGTCCACCCTCCTCTATAGTCATCCCCCACTGTCCGGCTCCACTCATTCACACTGAATATTTAACTCCACTCATGCCAGACCCCCCCTACTTCCCTTTTTTTTTTTTTAGTATTCACAGAAAATAAGATATAATTTACGCACATAAACGACTCTATTTAAAGTAAACCCTATCTTCATCCAAAAACGCCTTTTCTCTTTGCAGCCACTAATTAAAAATGTCCTGATAAGTTTGAATCAATCATTGATCGTTCACTTCAGGAGGCTCCGCGTTTAGGACTACAGACCTTATGCAAATAAACACTAATCTGAAAAGGAACATATAAAGCAGAATAACCGGTCAAGTAACAACTAGAGTTGAGCCCAGCCTCTTTTATCCCCCAATGCTGCTCTGCTGTTTTAATAAAGTCCCATCTAGACATTTCTATAAAGGGGGCAAGAGGTTGATCACCCACAGAGAGCAGAAAGAATCCAGGTTTTATATGAAGCTATTATTGTCACTGCCTATAATTAAGATCTTTTTTCTAAAAAAGTTCACAGGCAAAAACTTCCTTGTTGAGAAGAAAAGGCAGAGCAGATCCTGTGGAACCAGCTTTGTTTTTAAAACCGCATAAAAAAAAAAAAAAGGACTACTTAATAATTCTTGTGCACACTAACCCTGGAACTATTTTACATGCCTTTAATTTCCCTTTTAATCCTTTTATTAAACATTATAAATACTGAATGCTGAGATAATTTTACAGTTTCCCTAACATTAAGTTTGGTTATCATTAACTATATACATTTGTCTTATATTTTTAGGATTTCTCTTGGTGCACTCCCATTTTCCTTGACGTCTATTTAGAACAAAGTTGGGAAATATTCCTACAGCATCAGGATAGAGGATGTTACTTCCCCCATGATAAGGAGTTTCTCCAGGATAAATTCTCTTGCTTCCTGTTCTCTGAAAAACTGCGACCAGAGCGGCACCTTTTTTAAAAAGACTGCAATGTCTTATTAGTTAATATGTATGATTGACACAAGCATCTTTACCTTTTTAATGTACTCACTGTTTTTCATCATGTTCGAGCTGATTTATTTCACAGAATGTAAAACCATCCAGATGGAAATTCACACCATTATTCCTCCTTTAACCCGATGATTTAACAGCTCAGAATCAGCAGCATATCGGTTGGTTTTACCATACTACACTAAAATACTATACAACATACTAAAGTGCATGATTTATCAGGCGGAAACATCATTTCTACCAAAAAAGTCATTGATCTGATCAGTAAAACGGGATTATTTTCATCATGTCAATCAGTATGCCTTCTCACAATTACAGAGCATTAGCTGGAGATGAAGTAACATACGGTATGCCAAGTCAGATGCTGAAAAAGGCGTTGCTGTTATTTTCTTGAGGCTGCACATTTTTCCCCAATGGTTGAGAACATATTTTCTGGTGGTTTAAATGCAGAAACATGGGAAATATTCCACATATAAAACTCCTCTTGAGTAAACATTTTTTTAAAGAATGAATTTAAACTAAGTCAGTGTGTTAATACTTTTCCTGATTTCTGATATTTACAAAAACACAGCCAGTATCGCAATAACAGACAAACAGAAAAGGCAAATACAAACTGTATTTAAAAAAAAAGCAATTTATTAATCAAGCAGTTTTCACGTTTTCAGAATGGAATGATATGAAAGATCTTAAGTTGAGATTCTGTCTCCTTTGGAGATGAAAAAGGCAAAACGAATATTAGCAGACAATAAAAAACTCAAAATGAGTTGAAAGTGCTCAGTCCCAGCCCAGCTTTGTTGAGGCAGAATGGGAGAGAAGGCCTGGCTCAGACAGCTCCGGGTCTGGACAGATGCAGACTGCAGACCAGGTTTACATTTCCTCACCAAATTGGCAAGACACTAAGGAGGACACCAAGAAACATACCAACGTGCCAACCTTTTACAGTAGGATTCATTCATTCATTCATTAAAGACCGTTATCAGCAGCATGCTCACTCTCCCATTACTCAACCAAGAAATGTGTGTTTTGCTCCTTGCAGTTGCTTTGAGTGGAGCCAAGCTGAAGTGGAGGAGTGACGGGCAGAGTGTTCAGCATAGGCAGTCTTAGAAGATCACAGCCGACATGTGGAGTGGTTCAAGCAGTTGTGCTATAGCTTGATGGTGCCAGTGGGCAAACTACTATTACACAGTCTATAGTAGCGGAGGTCATTCACCAGTCTCTGCACACTTTGAGTGAATGACGGCAGGTCCTGAAATAAAGGTGGAAAACAAATGATTGTCAGATGCAAGTGGGATCACATCAACAAAACAGTATTTTATGCATATAAGGACTGTTTTCCTGTTAAAAGAGCAAGATCACTGAGGTTGAGACAAATTTTAACATGTATCTTGCTTTTAAACAAATAATGAAAAACAATGAATTTATGTTTTTAATTTGTGTTTTCAATTAGAATTAGAAAGCAAAGAACCAAGGAGGAGCTGCAGACTAAACAGTGTGAAAACCTTTAACTGGTGAGGTGACAAACTGGGATGTAAATTTGCTATTTAATTAGCTCCTAATGTACTTTGATTGAACAGAACCCAGAGAAAAACAGCCCAATTATTTGTCAATATAAACAGAACTGCTTTTTAATAGTTACATAAAGCTGCAGTACCTGCAACAAGGAAGCTACAAATAATTCATTAAATTCCTGTTCAGTATGCATTTCTCACCATGGGTGTCTTTTGAAATATCTTCCAGCAGAGCATTAAACCAGGCAGTGGATGCATGGGGGGAGTTTAAATTAAAGCAATAGAATAGGCAGCTGCAATGGGTTTGTTTAGATGAAAGCACAATAATGTCCAATTAAAGTTAAAATCTACACCTATTAAAGATTTTATAGCAAGATTCAAAAACTAAGGTGTGCTTTAGCTATCTGCCTAATTTAGATATGCAATGTACATATGAGACGTGCTATGAAGGGCCTGTAGCTATAATTACAAGGAAAGGTTTTTAATTTAACTGTCATTTCACATCATTATGTTCTACTTTGTCTATTAAATAAAATTGGAATAAAACAGAGTGAGGTTTTTGCCTGATAAGGGCCAAAATGTGAAAAAATTTAAGGGATACAAGTATTTATTCTGAGTTCATTTTCACGTAGGAAACATGTCAGGATTTCTTTGTGTGCAAATATCAATGATGAACGAGGGGGAGGCTCTGTATGAAGCAACAGCTCAGAGCTGCCGCTGTGACGGTTTACTGAATGAGTCTTGTCACTAGAGCTATCAGGAATAAAGACTTGAGGTGCTCAGTGCTTCTGATCATTGTTTAAGTAATAATGTAACCATCTTAAAGATGGTTCCTTTTGAGTTTTTTCAAGTGTTTTCTTAAAGATGTGATTTTATCATTTTCTAAAACAATGTGGAAAAATCCATAAAAAACATCAAAGTTAATGAATGGGTGGAGGAAAACCATCAACCCTAACCTGTTCAAGCTTGAAGTTGCGTGCGAGAACGGCCCGTTGATTGGAGTCCACTCCTTGGCAGCCGTTCAGAAACTCTGGCATGAAAGCCGAGTAGAAGGCATCGAAGTCAACGGAAGCCATGTTGTAAATGGCAAGGGTTATTTCCTCCTGCAGGAGGTCATGACTTTTGTGGAGGAGGACCTGCAGGAGTACGTTGATGAAGTGGAAGAGCATCGAGGTCCGGAAAAGCTTCTGAAGAATCAGAGAACACATTTTAAAAAAACATTATAATTAGATGATTAAGACAGTGCATGTTCACGAGTGATAATTAAAAATGAGAAGTAGCTAACTCTGAAATGTTCAATTTAGGTCATGAGACCAGAGGAGAAATTAAAGATATTAGCTAGATTTTAAAAATTCATCTTACTTATACTGAGCTGTAACTATGAGAGGAAGACTCTTGCACACTAAATCACTTAAGGTTAGTTAGTTTAGAAAAAATGAAATTGTAAACGCCTATAAAATGCAAAAATCAACAATGGAAGAAAATCTAAACATACTCTGTGATATAACTTGTGCTTGCTGTTCAGAGACTCCAGATAGGAGAGATTCTGCTTAAAGATGTGGATATCTGTCTGCAGGAAGGACTGGCCAAACGCCTGAAAAGATATTTCAAACAGAGAACAAGGAAATGGGGAGAAGCAAATGAAACTTGGAGTATGCTAAAATCAAAAAAGCTAAAATTCAAACTATTCTTTAACTCTAATATTAATAAATGGGATTTAAATATATGAACAGACCTGCATGGCTGCTGTGAACTGGGCCTCGTTCTCCATGGCGTCGTCAACACCTCCTCTTTGGACGCTTGTTAAGACTGAGGTTTTGAAGAAGTACCTCCAGTTTTGGTGAAGTATTTGGTAAAGCAACTCAAACATTTCTGCTTTGACATCTGGTGAGGACCGCTGTTAAAGAGAAAACATTCAGCGAGACGATCAGAAAATCTGTTTAGGATACATTTATTACCAGGTGAAGGATTTCTTTATAGCCTAGTTATCTTCCATACAACTTTTACATGATTCAGTATTTTAAAGAACTGTCAGGATGTAGACAAAGAATGTAGCTTACTCTCCGTCTGAAATTTGCAGTATTTTTACCCATTAGTGGTTTACTTAGGTTTATTTTACTTCCTGAATATCTTCAAATCTTAAAAACCAGTCCCTTAAACCCCTTTGATTTTGGGATATTTCTAACATAAAACACAACTGAGGGCATTATTTTCACCCCCATAAACAAAAGGAAATGCTGCACGCTAAGCTGTTATTGTTTAACTGTAATGACAAACGGGTTGTAGCACAGATAACAGATGGATGTTTTGAATAACAAAATAAGATAATGTCCTGAATAATTGATAATTAACTTAAACAAGTTTATCATATTGATAGATTATATCGAATCATTAGAGGCAGATATTGCATAATAAGGCCACTGTCACCAGCCACTTTATAACCAACACAAAAAAAAAAATAGGCCAATCACACAACTGTGACTTGATCTGTTCAGGAATAAAGAGGTGTTTAGGTGAAGAAGGGGGGATTTAGTAACTATGAAAGTTGCATGGTTGATTCCTATCACAAAGGCAGCATTAACATTTGTCCAGACTAAAGTGAATGGTCTTAAAAAGAAGGAATATGCAGTGAGTGGCGTTTTTAGGAACAGAGATGTCTTCTCGAAAAGAGAATGTCTGGGATGAGGCAACAGCTATAGAAAAATAATTACTATTATAAGCAAGGCAAGGCTAATAAAGAGGGAAATAAAAGAATAATGCTCGTTTCAGAAAGGTTAGAAAGATAAATTGAACTTTATTGATCTCACAATGGAAAAATTAATTCTCGGCATATAACCCATCCCCTTGGGGAGCAGTGGGCTGCCACTCTGCAGCACCCGGGAAGCAGTGTGGGGTTAAAGGTCTTGCTCAGAGGCCCAGAGTGGAGGCTATGGGGATCAAAAAGGTATTTGCAACCTTCTCAGAGCACAAGCACACTGCTATAACCTCTAGGCCAACACTACCCCCCAAAAATATACAGTAATTGCATTTATCACTTGCAATTATCAGAGGTCGCTGTTGCTGTGCAAATTTTTATTCTATGTAGAATTCATAAATCAAAAAAAAAAAAGAAGCAAAGAATTTAGCTTTTTGAAATGAGATGTTTGGCATTTTCAAGGCTAATCTAACCCAAGATCAAATGACGCCCTCTGGTGGTTCTAAACTGTGTATTTGCAATGCTCTACTTTTAATTTCTCCTGTTGTTTAGATGAAAGTGTGTTTTGTCAAACGACAGGACGCTCCGTCTGTGGTGTAAAAAAAAGAAAGACTGATACCAAGAAGAGCTGTACCACATTGTTCTCCACCTTAAAAGAAGGTAAAAATTAAGAAAATGACGCTTTTAAAATATGCATAATAACCAACTGACCTCTGCCACAACTGGGTAGACCTGCTCCATGCACAAAGAGAGGATGCTGGGCAGGAAGGGCTTGAAAGCCTGACCCGGTTCTTGCACCACCACCTGCAGAATTTTCAGGAACTTCTGCACAACCCTACATCCGGCGCTACCTTCTTGTAAAATACTGGCAGCCAGTTGCTCCCTGGAAAAACATTATATCACATTAATTACAATTTCCCTTCAAGAGTAGTAGCAAAGGAAATGCGTTTAGAGCAAAAGCTGATGCAAATCTTTGATTTGTACCTTGTGAACATGCTGAGGAAAGTGTGGATGATCTGCCCTGTGAAGGCAACGCCCATTTGGACTCGCAATGCTTGAAAGAGTGTCAGGAAGAAGGCCAGGACCTCATCTGTCACATCTGCAACAAAAAAGTGATGATAAAAACAGGAAGAGTAACATGGCTTTAAAGGTTAGTAAAATTATCCATTTCCTTTTAGAAAAGTATTATTTTCATACAACCTTATCTTGTTACTTGATCTAAAATGCCCCACATTATTAATAAAAAAGTAACTCTGGCTATGTTCACACTGCAGGCATTGATGCTCTATTCTGATTTTTTGTGAAATCAGATTCTTCTGCATGGTTGTTCACGTTTCCAATTATATGCGACTTGCATGTGACCTCCTGTGTGAACTGCATTACCACACCTTCAGTGTCCCGCATGCGCAGTTTAGGATGTAATGACATCACAAGTAGCAAGCGAGGTCTGTGTTTACTGAAGAAAACATGGGTGGTAGTACTGGAGTGCATCTAGCAATCTTTCATTTCTTTCCCAACCTCAGTCAGTGCATTAACAGCAATCTTTTCAAGAAGGCTGAAAATAAAGACTGCTCTCCGCATTATCCACCGCCATGGTTGTTGTTTTCTTCTTGTTGAGTATTACCCCATACAGGTTGGATGAATGTGACCTCACAGTTCGCAAACAGGTTGCATTGGAAATGATCAGATATGCACAGCATCACATAGCACAGGGGTCACGGATTAGCAGACCGCAGTCTTGATCCGGACCGGTCCGGTGGCTAACCTGATTTTAAAAATGTATAAATTACCGCATGTTTTCCTACTTTAGTGTCTAACTTCACTTGCGCTGCTTCTCCTGTTAAAATGGTAAAGCCCTCCGGAGCATCCGGGACCAGGCTACATGTGATACAAATTAGCCAATGAGCTGTGTCAGTCTGGGTTGCTGCTTCTCGCTACTTTTAGACAGCAGGCAAACCTGTGGCAAGCCGGACGATGGGTAAGAAGGAGAAGACGAGAAAAAGAAAGCATGCAAGTGTACTTCTCTCATTAAGTGATAAAAAAGAAAAAAAACAACCAAAAACCCACGGTCAGTTCAGGTGTTTTATAAAATGAGAATGTGAATCAGCAAATTGTCTTTATACCGAACTGAACAATTGTTGTTCTCTACTTCAAAAAACACTTTAGTTTTTCAAAATGGAAAAATTTTCTATTTTTATTTATTTTTTTTTTTATTTAAGAAGTCAATGTATAACATGGATGCAAACACACCTCATTTTGTCCAGTAATAAATAGTTTTTAAACTAACAGATTATAATTAAAATGTCTCCAGACCTTTACTGGTTGTTGACTTTCTTTATTCAGACCCCACTGATTTTTAATTGGTTACTCCTGATATAGCCAACTGGCCTGGGTTGCATTGGGGGAAAAAAATGGATTTGTGTATTCAGACTCTCAAGAAAAGATCAGATACAGGTCGCATATGGGCAAGAAAAGAAAATAAATATTGGATTTAGGGCACTTCTGGTTGCTGTGTGAAGATAACCTATGATTGACCAACAAACCTGGCTGCTGAATAAAAACTGGGAACAGGTTGAGAGTCACTTGGACCGACTCCTGCAGACTCTGGTAACAGATCTGACGGGATTTGGTGGACTCCCCTGAGATGCTGTCTACTATATCCCTGAGCACAGGCAGAGTCTGCTGAATCACTGCTTTCACTGCAGAGGAGACACACGTTAGGAGAAAACGATAAAAAGATTACTCAGATTCAGGTATTACTTCATAACAAAACTAATAGAACAACGTTATACCAACCATTATCCAGACCCGGTTGTCTTGGACTAATGTTTACAGTTCCTCTTAAAATACGATATTCTCGTGTAAGAGCGGCCACTAAGCTGGCATGACTGTTGGAGCGTGTGTGCCATTGCTGCTCGCTCTCTGGGAGATTTGGCCATGGAAGCAGCAGCATGTTGGACAGAGCTCTGCACACCAGAATGTGAGCCTGGACAAAATACAAAAACAATTAAAATCGCTTACTTTATTTACTGAAAATACTCTTAAATGTATCCTCCAAAAGCCTAAAAAAGAAATGTGACATCATAGCATATTTTTTCAAACATGAAAGGAAAGGTGTGTTAAATGACATTAACGTTTCATAAATGCTGTAACAAAGTTCACCTCTTGGGGAAGTCTCTGGGCCTGATTCTCTGTAGTAATCCGGTTGAAGATGTTCTGGACAGCTGGTAAAGAGACCAAAAACACCGGCCTCACCGTAGCAGTGATGGAAACCATCAGGCAGCTTGATGAGAGCAGCAACTTTTCAGGTACCTGTGGTAAAGAAAAATTTTAATCTGATTATTTTGATTCAAATCTGGTTATTTTTAAACAGCAGGTCCTGGGAATCTGTCACCCTGTAGGATTCATAAGCACTGAGATCATCTACTTTAAACTGAGGTTAGAGCTAAATTAGGCAGAATAGATCAGCTAATACTACATCTGTCCACTTTGCACATCCTTCCACAGCTGATGGGTTTTTATTGTTTAACTGAATGGAAAACTGTAATTTGTGTATTTTTGTCTGATTTTACTGTGTTCTTGTTCGCAGTGGAATCAGTTTAAAAATTGCTTTGCCATTTCCACTTGTGAGCGACAGATTTTTAAAATGCCAAATCTAATCGCTAAGGTTGCCAACAACAACAGCCAATCCTGTTCTACAACCTGAAGTTTATCAAAAACAATGAGCTACAGTGTAGATTAAACACGAGGAAACAACAGCAAAGGTGAAATCCAGAATCATAAAACAAACAACCTCAAGCTTTGGTTCACAAGTAACATTCACAAGTTAAAAAACAAAAACTAAACTAAACAACCCAGAAAATGGGACGTATAAAAATAACTATTTTTCCTTCCTCATTAACAACTCGATGCGGCAACATGAAACGGTCACCGCGGCGGCTGGTAGGTGTTTTTCATCTAAATAATCCGATCTGCAGGCACCAGGATAATGAAAGCGAACATATTCTGCGGGCAGATTTCTGCATTTTAAGTTAATTTATGCGTCAATAAACTGTTTCAGAGGAGTGATCATAGCGCTCTGTATCATCAGCGCTGTGTCTCTCTATGCCAGCTCCCAGATCAGCTTCTCTGATTGGTTGACGCGGTGCGTCAAGCAGCAAAAATAAAATTTTTCCATCTNAAAAAAAAAAAAAAAAGGAAAAAACTTTGGGAGATTTTTTGAAGATTTACTATATTCCAAAGTCATGTTTTTGGATCAGACAGGCCAAAAAAACCAAAATCATGTTTGTTTTAGATGCTTAGAAGGAAAGAAGATGGAAGTTTTTACAGTGTAGTTCAACAAATCTCTGCCATAGGGAGGAAAACCAGCGTCTTCAAGCAGTTAGTTAACAAGCTAATGGTTTACATCTCTGAAAATATTTAGTCTTTGATTTAAAGTATTAACAAAATCATGTATGTACCAATAATTTTGAGATATTTCAACTGACTGACTTTACAAAACAGTGAAAATTGGCCAAACGTGTGACAGGTGTCGGTACCCACAATCCCAGACCTATAGGTTCTCACCCAGATCTGCAGTTTTATCCTCTTGTCGTTCCTATAGATGGTCTTCACCTTGAAGTCGATGCCCACCGTGCTGACGAACGCTGGCGTGAATGAGTCGTCTGCATAGCGGAAGAGGAAGGAGGTTTTTCCCACACTGCTGTTCCCAATGATGAGGATTTTAAACATGTAATCAAAGTTCTGGTCCGAAGACTCCTTCTGTCCGTATGTCGCATTTGCAGACGCCATCTATGCAGGAACAGACATCCAGCAATGATCATCGTTTAGTTTACATGCTTTGGTAACAGAAGTTTTGGTATATTATTTATTGGCCCAGATTGAGTGTTTATGTTTGGCTTAAAGTGAAGTTAATGTGATTAGAAAGACAATTGGAAAGAAAACAACTCCTAAAACTCAATCTGGAAAAGAAAATAGGAAATCCATTAAAAATTTAAAACAATAAAAGTTGAAAATATATTTAAAAAAAATGAAATGAATCAAAATATATATTTTTATAACAACAATCTGAGAAAACAGAAAAATTACTCTCAAAATCTGTTTTTAATCAAAATATTTCAAATAAGTTTAAGTTCTGGATTGCATTTTTCATTGAATTTATACATGCATACAGATATACATATATCTCTAAATCTCTATACCTCTCTCTAGATCTCTCCCTTGATCTCTCTATATCTATCTATCTATATATATATATCTCTATCTCTCTCTCTGTATATATATATATATATATATATATATATATCTCTTAGGGGTGGAACAGTTCACAAAATCCACGGTTCGTTTCACGTTTTTCGTTTCAGTATATGTTGATTGTTAGCCTGACATGTTGGTCGTAGGGTTGTCACGATACTAAACTTTTCAACTCGATACCGATACTAAGGAAAATATTCGATACTCGATACCATTTTCGATACCACAAGGATAAAAACAAAGACTCCAAAATTCAACAGAAATATTTTCATTAATAAATAAAATACAATAAATAAATACAATAAAGGTTGTATGCTG